AGGATAAAAATAAAATTCATATGCTTATTGTTGAAATTTAATTAAAAAATAACTGTGACATTTAAAACAAATTAATACAGTTTACAAATAATAACTGAATCAATTTAATTATGGTGAATACAACTATTATATTTATTTATTTGTTGATACAATCTACAGCGAGCCTTTTGTATAACATGGCTAGCATTACAATAACCACGTAGTTGATTCTTACTTTTAATTAGTCGATAATTAACCATTGTAATAGATACGACAGTTAAAATAAGGCGTTGAAAGACGAACCTACAAGTATGCATAAAATATAAATGATAATAAACTAATTGGATCAGCAATGAACAAGTCACGAAAGTGCGATTGATAAAATTTTAATGAAGTAGAATACGAGAAAGCAGCCAAAAAGTCAACTAAGTAATCTGTTAATAGGATCAAAATTAAATAAACTAATACTTTCAGTACCGCTACTGCTATATATGCTATCATCAATATTTCTTATATGTTAATGTCACTAATATAGAGATCAGCCAATACTGCAAAGATACATTAGCGCAGTAACAGGACGCAGAAGTTTGTTTTGATATCCAATCTATAGAATTTGGATAACAATACAAAGAGCATATTCTATAAAAGGTAAGACTCACAAAAATGTAGCATAAGTTAGACTAGGAAAAAAGTTAAAGCTTAAGATAACTAATTTATTAATATTGCTTTAATAAATACTGAATCAGCGTATATGATTGATTCTATTCATAAGACTTTTTTTCGTCTACCCATATTTATAATGCTAGCTAAGTGAAGACATCTAGATATACGAAAATACTGCTGGCAAATGCAAAATAAAATGTCATTAATAATATTATATTATCTTACTAATATGCTAGTAATTATTTTGTTAGTAACGGTCTACATTTCAGTGTGAATAGACAATGTTAGCCGGTAAAGGATAAGATAAAGCGATTAATTCAACAAAGATAATTAGCGTCATGTATACCTTTATAGGGTCTATCTTTGTATACTCAATCGCGATCAGTAATTAATTAATCATGCTAAACAACATTAAGTTAAACAACAAATTAATATTCCTACCAATTTTTAGCTATTCTTGTCGACAGGATCAAGATTACAAATGAACATATTATGTGTTTGTTTATGATCGGAAAGCTTATCAGCTATAGATAATAGCCAAGACTAATTTGATAAATTGATTAAAAAAATTGGATGTCATAGAAATAAAAAAAGGAGAAAAAAATATGCCTCTATCCTCAAGGCCAATTTAAATTTAATTAACGACCAACAATGACTCATTCACGGATAACTAAGTCGGTTGCTTTAATTTTCTAAATTCCAAATTAAGCCTTGGCATAATAACAATATAGGAATAAATTGTATAAACAGGATGATGGATAATAATAATTATGTTGATAGTTTTGTTAATCTAATTTTTTCATTACGGTTAAATGCTTTTAAATGTCAAAATTATTCGATCAGTATATATATACATATCAAATCGGTCTTATTTTAAAGAAATCATTTTGATAAAATTTCCAAATGGGAGTCGATCAAGAGAGGTGTTAAAAATAACCTCTTATCAAAATTAGTAAGTAATTATTTGGCACTTAGCCGCGCATAATTTGCAGGACTGCGATAATATGACAATGTCAACATCGGCGGTTTCATGCGTTATTTCAGTATATTCAAAATGAGGTCAAACTAAACTTGCTAAACTAAATTATCTCACTCATTTATGCCATATAAAAGTTATTTAATATCCAAAAAATTTCTAATTAACTTGGAAAAATATAATAACGACATACGGGTGGACGAATTATTTAGACGAACCGACAACTATACTATTTATTCATTACTTATTAATCGCCTTCATGTAGGTCACGATGAAATCAAATAACAAAAGATGCAAATTATCCTTCATGGACATTAAGTTTTTTTGTTCGATTGCAATCAATTACCTGACAACAACAACTTGATCAATTTTCTCGTTAGATTCTTTCAGTATGTAATGACAAAATAGTTAGTAAACATCCTTTTGTATCAATAACGAGAATAGGACATATAATTGAGTAATAGATTCAATTGCACTAGTCATTTTTCATTTAGCTAGAGTTAATTTTCAATCTGTTAATCAAATAATATATTTTACATAGCTGTTATAATTTACAGTTGGCGAATAACGTGAACTATTCCGTATAGCAATGATTCTGTAAAGACAATGTAATACTAACGTTTGCTTATGCATACGCGTAGTTTAGCTGGCACTGTAGTATCTAAGCAAAGATTACAAGAATAGTCATTTTACAAATTACATAATTTAACCTATGTTTAACCTGGAAGGGAAAATAAATTTTTCTTCCATACTATAATTAACTCTATTTTCTATTTGAATGTGGTAGTAACATAGAACAGAGTCGCTTTATATTGCACAATGCAATCCTTCCTGTTTATTACTACATACTTCATGTACTCTAGTAACTCTACATCGATATACAATTAATAATTCATAAAATAGATATAGTCACTGACTAATTTCTACGTTAAGATTATTAATCAATTCATCTTTGGGTTTCACAGTTAATTATTATTAACGTTGTTGTCTTGCATACAAGTCTCAATACGTTAAGCGAATAATCAAGCTATGATTTTTAATTGTTTTAATTTTATGACTAGAAATAACCCATAATAATAGTAGCTTGGTTATCAATTAATGGATTATAATCCGATGAATTGTTGAAATTATAATAGGATAGAAGGTGACCCTAAATTAACATCATTAGTGAAATTTAATTAATTCCATTAATAGCTGGATCACACGACCAATTTTATGACCCTAATTAAATTACATACTGGCGTTGACATAGACAATTGAAATTATCACGACATTACTGCTGAGTCTTTGAATAATTTTCTCTTCCTCATTCATGACTACGATTAAGGTACGGTAATTATCTAATTATTGAATATAAACAACTTACAATAGAAGTATTATATTCTATTAGCGGTAAGAACTTGAAATAATTTATTAATTGAATTTCATATTATTTTTGGATCTATTAATGAAATAAAAAAATTTTATCCATTCTATCATATCTACTTTCTCATTTAATTATAAATGAAACTATAATTGCATTTTATCAGCTTGTAAATGAACATATAAAAGATTAAATGATAGCATAAACTGATGTTAATTTTAATTTTTTTAAGTAGATGAGGGAATAGAAAGAAATCAATAATTTTTTTATTGTTTACTACTATGTCTGTGTTGTCAGGAGCGCCAACAAGTATATTTAATAGTTTACTGACGTAATAATAACTTCACTGATCAACAATCATGTTTTAGTTAACGAAATGATATATTAGATTTCCTATTATTTTATTTTAATTTAACCTTTAGTAGTAGAGTGGATCTATTCCAGGATATACTGTACCAGTATACTATGATCGTAATAATTAAACATTTATTAGAAGATGAAGCTCATTAACTGTAACAGCGTATTTGAATAACACCTCCAAGAAGTTAAATACAGACAACCATAGCGACGTGAATCATTGTTGAGTCTTGACGATTATTTCAGATGCATACTATTTATATTTACCAACTGGCGATGTTGACGTCTTACTTAATTTTTCAACGAGACAAAAAAATTGAAATTGCATAAATTAAATTGATAAAAATTTTCTTCCCTTACTGAGTGTAGATAAATGTTTATTCTTCATGAACAACTATAGTATATTCATCATGATTAAATGTAAATACGTATGGACTATCCATTACTCAATACGAGCTTGAGCTAGATTGAATAAAATCTATGATTGAAATAAAAAGTAGTGATCTTGTAGGAATGTGTGGATATCATGAAGTATGAACCTTAAATAGACTCTATAGCAATACGATTTATAAGACAAATGAAACTTGATAGAAATTTATTTCACCGTCGCTATTATTAGTACAGTATACGTGTAAAGTTGTACGCTCTATAGCAATGATAACAAAGCGTTAGTGTACTCAATCGTATAAGCATACCGAATATAATAGCAGTTTGCTAAATGTCTAAGAATCTATCAATTTCAGAAAACATCCAACAATCGATCAACGCTCTTAGTCTGTTATTTTTAATCCTTTTATTGACAATTCTTTCTGTTTATGTACGTATATCATATTTTACATTGACATTTAAGATGAAGTGTGTATTATACAAAGCCTGGTTGTAGTATGGCTTGTTACAGGTTATTTCATAGTCTAACTGCAATGAAAGTTAACGTTAACAAACGGTAAAACGATGAAATAACATAATTAAGAGATTTTTTTTATCTGAGATCGATAACTTTTTTCATTTCCTACATTTCGTAGGCATTTCTTATTATTTTAAGATATAAATATACATTAGCTAATAGTATAATTACATATATATATATATATATATATAATAACAAATAAAAATATTAAGTAGTTCTTAGGCTATAAAGATGGTTAATTTTCTTTGCAGTTATGAAATTGCTATGCAATATACAATATTTCAAAGCAATTACATCTATAGCAATCAATACAACGATAACTACATTGAAAAGTTATCACATCAACCTTATTAAACAAAATAACAGTCATATGGAACAACCGAAAGTGGTCTGTTATTTTGATTGGCTCGTCCTATACCAAATTTCACTAATACAACACATACGTGTACTTGAAATTTGATAGATGGTGACGTTATCATTAAACAGATTAAATAATGCTAATTTATTTGAGCCATTAGCCATCACCAATGCAAAAAAATCCAAACTAGTCGTTTAAACCGGAAAATCAATAATATACTGACTAGTGATTAGAATAATTATTTAATTTTCCTAATCCCATACTTTATTTAGCGCAATTGCTCAATCATAAGCAGCTAACATGACTATATTACTTTTTCTTACAGTCTAAAAGAATACAGAAAATATAAGTAACTATATATCCAATTTAGTAAGTGGTTAGGAGGCATATTCGCTCATCAACGATGATCGGTTTCTGAATCCGTGCCACCGGCATAACTATCTCCGTTACCAACAACTCCACCATTACTACTGATACTTTCCACATCATCAGTTGCACTTTCCACGAGCGTAGCTGTATGATCACGTTCATTATTGTCAGAATTTTCATTCGAATAATCATTATTACTACCGTTCTCTAAGTCGTTACTTAGTCCGTTAAGACTAAGGCAATTATCGATAGTATGATCAATATCATTCGAGTCATCTACCGTTGAAGGCAAACAATTCCGGTCAGATAATGCATTATCCTCTATTCGATCATCTAAGTCACCATTAGTTTCATCAGTAAGGTCTGATAATTGTGCTACAGGATATTTTCTAGGGCGTCCACGACGGCGTTTAGATGGTATATTTTGTTGGCTACTTCCATCTGTACCTTGTGAGTTGTCATTATTTAATTCTGCCAGTGTTAATTCTTCATCTTTAACTATCGCAGTAGTTTTAGAGTCTTCACCATTACTATCGCCATTACAGCTGATGTATACGTCATCCTTAACATCACCAACGTCAACTATGGCGTCTTCAATATCAGAGCTATTGCAATTGTCTAATTTATCGAATTTTTCCTCCGCTTCATAGTCACTGAAGAAAACATTGCCACTTACCAATGGTGTCCACTGAAGGCATTCCGGATCAGTCTCAATACGTTTCCTATTAGCTAGTTTTTCCATATGTTTTTTTACACGATCATTGTCGACGATAATAACGAACCTAGATTGCGTCGCAGTATAACAACGAGTTTTAAACAATATACTACCATGTTTTAAACATAATATTCACGTATCGTAAATATTTTTTCAATTCTAAGGGTGTGAAACTACAGAATATTTTTACAAAACGAAACGTAACTCATCATGATGTATTTTATCCCTTACTCTATTCCAAATATAAATACTAACCCTTCATCAGATCTCTGGATCATATTCATATATTCTAACATTGCGGCAATATCATGTGGATCGATGCCAGATGCTCTACTAATGTCTATTATAAAATGCTAATCTTAGTTTCACAACTCAAACACTATCCAATACTAATAAAGGTAATGCTTTTCTACGATTGAAAAGGAAAAGAGGAATAGTAGTGATAATATTGGTAGAATAAAAAAAAGATAAATTTTTAATACTAATACCAACCCTTTATAGTTACATGCTCATCGTTACTGTGGTAATGGAAGTATTCTAAGATAGCTGACTGCCAGTAACGATGATAACTGATCATTCCTAGAGGTGATAAAGGCTTCTCCGGTGTACCCGGTTGACCCTCAACACGAGATAGTAGATAACCTAAACATGCAGCAGTTCAAGAAAAATGCTAAGGATGATCTGTTCTAATCAGTTAAACAGCAATATATAATGCATCAGATAATGATCATTATCTTTTAATATTCTTACTGAAGTCTATGAGGAATCTACCAAAACCTTGCTTTTGATAAGGCGGTAGAGTCATTATGCATGACACGTTGTATCGCTGTTGACAACTTTTCTCCTAAGATCATTCAAATAAGCATAATCAATTATAGGAACAAGAATTTGACTCAAGTCAGTACAGTATGTATTTGAACTGTGATAGAATAGATAACTGCACGGTAGGTAGGAAAAGAACTAGAAATTACAAAATCTAGCATACTTTAGAGAAATAGCCTACGAGATGGCAGCCATATTCATCATTTTTAGTTAGGACATAAAATAAAAACGGTTCCACATCATAATACAACGTCTTGTGATCAAGAAATAATTTTGCTAATAGGCATAAATTCTGACAATAAATCTAAATAACGTATAAATAAAATTGTCATATTCAAGAGAAAAATTCACGAGACAGAAAATAAACAAGTAATAATAAAAAGTAAGTAATAGGCACCTTGTTTGTCATACCATCTACTTCAAATACTGATAATTCATGCTTTCTGTAGATTTCATTAGCAGGCGGATGTAGCCACGAACATTTGCTCTAATTGTTGGATTTTAAGCAAAGAATCACAAAAGTTTTTTAACACATCACTACTTCGATCAAATTAGACTAACCATATGCCTCTCAAGAATACTTCTGCTTTTTAAATATTTTAGGCAAAATTCACAAAGATACAATTCCGGTAAGCTAAGCATGAAAAGAATAAAATTATGGTAGATTCACATTTAGTACATAGAAAAGTCATAGATTTCTTTGGTGTATTTGATGAAGAATAAAACCAATGTTAGAGCTTCAAGATAAATTCTGTTATCTATTATTAATGTCTTATACTATAATATTAACCTAGCATATTCTTGGGGATAAGGTGCCGAAAACCATGTACTTATTTTAAATTTTCCAAATTCAATCACATCTGGCGATCTAGTCGGTTGTAAATTTGACGACAGAGCAGCCTAGAATAATCATACATGGTCACTACTATTAGAACAAAGTATAATGCAATACGCTACATTAGTAAACCACATGAATCCAAACTTACCGCTTTTTCAGCAGTTTTATCTCTTGCTTTTCGGAATAGCGTATAATCCGTTTCTGTAACATCTTCGTTTGATAAAGAATTAGAATCGATATTATGCTTACAAAGTTTAAAAATCAGGCATTTCTTACCACAAGGCAGATCTATTAAAAAAAATTAAAATTTGATAAGTTACCATGTATTAAAGGTTTAATATTGTCTTCAAATTTGTTAATGTTTACAACTCTTTATATCTCTAAGGAAAATAAGCGATTACGTGGGACTCTTATGAAATTATGTTAAGGGATATTACGATTTACCTCCTGTATCCAGATCCTTTCGTGAATTAGAATTTTCTAATGTGGTCAGTGATTGTCGTCTCTTCTTGTGATTCGTAGGGCTATATTTTGTTTACATGGAAAGCTTAATACCTCATTAAAATATTGCATAAAAAAAATTATTTGTATATTTTACCTTTCGCCTGTTGGTCTTCCTCTTTTCTTCAGGGACTTATTTGCACGTTTGCCCTGGCATAAATCACAAACCCAACGTCCTAACAATTTAAATTTATTTCAAGATAATGGGTATTAGTGGTGATTATAGTGACCTCATATCAAGCTGTATCATATTAATTACAAATACAATATAGATCGAATTAGGCAACTGAAAATTTTAACCGTTTTTTCCTAATCCTTTTATTACATGAATACGCAAGTTAGTAACCTGATGGCATCCCTGTCAGTGGTGGTGAAAGGCATTCCATATGAAATCCTTTATCACAAGCATCGCAAAATAGTAAATTGTCCTATTTTGAAAGATAATTACATAAGTCAGCTTAAAACTTTTCCTTAGCAACTAGCCATTATACTAATTTAAGTATATCATACGGGATTTCCAGCGTTTTGGCAATAAGAGCAAGTTTTACATTCTATACATTGCCATGGTTCTGTCTTTACTCTGGAAGTTAACTCTGGAGAGTACTTTAGACATGATGGATGTCCTGTAAACAAAATTAGATAAGAAAAATATTAATATATATATACTACTTTCTAATACTATAATAAATATTGACGTAAGGCAAAGTCCTTTTCACAAATGATTTGTGTCAGAATTGGTACTAAAATTAGAGGTTTATTTATATATTTAGCTACAACATAATGCTACAAATGTAACATTACTCTTTTCCATTTTCTGAAGTATACAATATAATAATAAGAAACCAAAAACACTTTTAATATTTGCTTCATACGTACCACTATTGCCACAATCAACACAAGATAGCAATTCCTCATATTCGTTACTTCTATTCTTTTTAGCTGGTTGCAAGCAAAAGCTACAAATAGGACTAGGTTCAATCTTTTTCTGTTAAAAACAATCAAGTGTAAATTCATAATTTAGTTTATTATGCATCTTATACCCTGATATCTATTATCTAGAATCTCATACTGTACAGTAAGGCATAACTAAAATAGTTTATACATTATTTACTGTCATAATAATGATGTTTGCCCACAACACGATAATATTCTTACTTTGCGTTTAATAGATCGAGAAACTAATCGATAAAATTTGCCATTTTTTACTATGGTTCCTGACTTTAGGCATCGTTTCATATCAAACCGCAACTGGGATAAGAGTTGATTGATATCAGTTTTAACCAGCTGTCGATCAATCAAAAATCGTCCAATCTCTTGCAAGGTTGATCCATCATTTTCTTTCAATTGCCTTAGGGCGGCCACAATAAATTGCTGCAAATCAGGAGGTATTACAGGGACTACAGTATTGGTAGTGGTAGTTGAAGGTGTCGACGATGTTGATGTAGAAATAAATCGATTTGGAGCAGCACTAGGATCACGATAGGAGACTTTACCTTTATTATGGACCTGTAGAATATGACCTTCGCGCACACAATTTTCTAATAACTCTATCGTTTCGTGTTTATCATAACCTTGAGTATGTAGGATATTGCAAATTCTTTCATCCGATGGACGCTGTTTTTGACCACGAATCTTGGAAATAGCATCCAAAATCAGTTGTAGTACCACAGTGTCAACTTGCCTAGCTCGAACCATGCTTGACACCATTAAAGATTTACTAGAAAGAAAGCATACAATTCGATATAATACTTGTTAAAATTAAAAATAGACTGAGTCAATTGAAAATGATATCGTAAGAAATGCAAAGATAATTATAAGATGTTATTATTCTTATACGTAAGTCTTATCGTCCTATTTTAAAATGGAAGCAAGAATAAAATAAAGTCACCAAAATTAAAAAAAGGACGTTTAAGGACACAGAGCTATGATAGTCAAAAATATATATCTAGTTATTAAGATTTGAAGCATTATTTGTTTGGAAATATTGAGATTGGATATTATTTAATGTGGTAGAAAACAGCATGTAGTTTGATTTATCTTGAAAGGAAGAGTTACGTATTGCAATATCCATTTAATACTGAATGTGATCAGATTCAGTTCGAGTTCGATATTGCTCTGATCAATAAATAAAAGTTTTGATAGTCCATGTGTTCAAGGTTAGTTTTCAATTTAAGCCTATTGTAAATCGCATTTGTTAATTCTACTACTATAATGAAGTATTATTATTCAATAAAAGCGATATCCCTCAACAAATCTGTCGAGAGAGATATTAATCCTTTCTAAAATGGCAACATTAAATATTAATCACTTGACTTGCCGTTGTCCATTTAATTTGCTATGTTTACCTTTAATCATTTTAATGCTGACATTATCTCGCGGACACTTTGTGCCCATCATTTATGATAATAATAATATCAATCATATGCGTAATAATCCATCCAACAACAAGGGGGGAGGTGCAAATGCAAATACAGTACTACGATAGTCAAAAATTAAAAGAGCTGACTTCAATACTAATACTGCGTTATCCATTTCAATTTGGAAGATAAATTAGAGTAGATATCCAATGGCGATATAATCTTGGTATTATCTCATGTTCATTGAATGTCATTTTGAATCCTATACAGGATCTGTATCTGTCTTCAGCGTAGTGAATTCACGAAAGACAGTTGAAACTTTCTATCCTAAAAATCAAAGCCATTATTACTGTATGCAAGGATATTTCGCTCATATATCCAACCATGTTCCAAGCTCTACAGTGTGCACATTGACTGAGTATACAGAGTGCAATCGAGTAGATAGAATAAAAAAAAATTAAAAAAATCAATAATTGTATAATGCACAAGACTCATATGATCATGTCAAGAGTATTGCATTACTCAAATTTTGACCCAACACTCGTCTTTATCCAGTACACATTTAACGAGCGCAAATCGTCCATCATGTAAAACACTTGATTTAGAATACGTTTCCATATGCTCAATCGTCAAATCATTTTAATTACCTTATTACAAATAATGAATTTGTCTTCGTAATTAGAGTCTATTGGATTGATTAGAATTCATTATCAACATTGAATAACAACATTACGATTTGTGCTGTAAGAAATTGTAAAAATAATCGATTGTATGTATATGGCGAAATGTCAGACAATCTGTACTAGAAGGATCATACTGATTAGGATTGGGTCAGTAGAGTGATTTTATGGTAATCAATCTACTATAATTTATTGCATGTACTAAAATAAAATAACTTGTAAATCATTTATAAGTCATCAGCAAATATTCAATTATCAAACGAGTCACTACAGTGTGCATACAGATGTAAAATCATTACATTAATGATTTTCATTTTTGGAGCACTTTTATTATCCATCGATGATAAAACATTGTGTTAACATGAAGAGGACAATCGCCTTTCTAGGTGTATGATTATCAGACTTGATTGTAAAACGATTAATATATCATTTTCTTTCTCAAGTTTATAAACAAGGTATAAATAAAAATCCAATACCGTAACTGATATTAATTCTTGATTGTAAAAAAAAAAGTGCACTATTTATTCTTTAGCAATCAAGGATGACGATGGGCAAGGAATATTCTGAGTCGATTGGTTTATAGCTTGGGCAGGATGCAGATGTGTTATTCCATTGCGATTGAGAATAAAATTATAATCATCATAATAATAATAATGATTCTACCTCAGTTAAATAGCGATCCGATCATAGTGCTATACAATCGAATAGAAAGAAGGAAATGAAAAATTTGTTGTAGGATCTTCAATTATTTTTCGCTAAACATTCACTTTCAACTATCCAAAAAGTGAATACGATTCTGCTATACCCAGTACAATACACGACGGATATAGGTTATGTATGGTATTTCAATTGAGGATAAAATAATTATAATTTTACTTCAGTCCATAGCGATCCTATGACATTGCTATGCAATGGAATAGAAAGAAGGAAATGATAAATTGTTGTAGGATGGAAGACTGTTTTTTCTTCTCTCTCAACATGAACTGAATTATCGGAAAGTGAATACGCTTCTACTACTACAGCATTCCCCTGTAGCAGTATACTATCTATCGATCGATGGATTCCTCTTCATCCATCCATAGTTATCCTAGTTTACCGCTGATAAAGGGATGATCGATCAGCTAGAACTGTACTTGAGGAGCTAGTTTCAGCTTTCTATTTGCTACTGATAGTCATCAACAGTTTTATTTAGGATAGAAAGGGGATTTCAAGTCGTAACAAGCGACAGGAAATATGAGATTGAACAGGGTTGGAATTGAAAAGTTGGCAAAATGGATCACCTATCGAGTGTTGTAAAGACAACTAGGCCAATTGACACTATTACTACTAACAACAACAACAACAACAAGGCAATAACAACAGCAGACGGAGAAGGCCAATTTTTCATCAAGCATTTTATTAAAATGATGTTTTGTATTACTTTATCTTGTTCCAAAATCTTCAGGCTATTATTGTTGTTTTTCAACTAAAGCTAAGGGTATTCTTTTTTCCTAGTCTCTATACAAGTGGAATAGGTATTTATTGCCAGAGGAAAACGTTTGATCATGACTGTCCTAGGAAAGGGAATACTTGGACAACGCTTGATGTCGAGTGAAATAGTGTATCAAGCACAGTATCTTGATGGCTTACTATTGTCTGTCTAGCGATGGATATGGCGACACCATATCTGATACGATGATGAAGACATTTTGTAGATAAATGGGCCCTTTTAACTAGCAAAGATGGGACTCGACACTTGTGACGATATGAACTTGAGTTTTTTTCTTGCAACACTAGATAAGTGTAGATATATTCTAGTTATTCATTCATGACTTTGTAACGCTATTTGCAGTAGGGTCATGTAGCCCATGAAAGTTGTTGATGTTCATTATCAAGGTGTAAAAGATCGGTAAAAAAAGAAGGCAGGCGTCCACTGACTATTGGCAGATTAGTTGGCAATGATACGACTATGACGAATCAAGAAGACTATCGTAACTAGGCTAAAGCAGATGATCAAGTAATGTAGCTCGAATTTTATCCTTGTTGTAAGGAGTAAACGACTATACAATCTTGACATTCTATCGACCATTTCATAGTCCAAAGTGGTTGATCAAGATTGAGAAACACTTGCACCCCCTTTCAATACTCGTCGATGATGCTTTCCTATATGCCTACAACTCGACAAGGTAAGAAAATCGTCAAGGAGTATCCATGACTGGATATAGATCAAACTGGTTGATGACCCTGGGATATTGAAGATGGCTGCTTTGGAGTGATTACCTGCACTATTCCTTTCTACGGCTAAAAGATACAAGGTTGAAAATAGACAAGGTTTCAATCAAAGTTCAAGATACTTTTACACTAGACGACCGATCTATTGCACTGTACTAAGTCCACTGATCACTAGAGTGATTGGACTTGACAGTCGACATGGCACTTTACTCGATGGTCAATGGCCATTGAACTGGATCTTCTCTCCCTATTTACAATCTCGTCTTTTCATCGATTGTACGATACTACAGGATTTACTCTACATTTACTCCTAGCAATGGATATCTTTTCCTAGCATGGACTCAATGAATCAAGGCAAGCATGTCAACAGAACAACATTACTCCAACGTAGAGTTGAATAAACGACGATCCAAAAATAACCAAAAATAAAAAGACAACTTCAAGACTAATGATGCAGTCAATTGAAATAACAATCCTTTATGGATAATGGCTTTTTCTTCAACGTTACCTCGATCAAATGGATTCTATCTTTGTAATCGATTGTCCAGGAAACCGTCGAGATATACAAAAGTATTATAGAGTCCGTCTAGGATAGCTACTACTCATGGATACCATTAGCGAAATGGAGAAAAATCCATCATGGATGACCAAAAAAAAAAGCAATGGCGTTAGGATCTTGTTGGAGTTGTGATTGGAGTCAGTCTACTGTACAGATGACTCGCTGAAAAGAAGAAAAAAACTGCCCAGTGGGAAAATGGCAGTGCGCATGCTCAAAAAGAAAAGTCAATCATCCTGCTTCAGGCACCAACTCTAACATCAACAACAGCACGTGACGCAAGCAGAACGGACCTCACGCTACCGTGTTTGTGTCGCTTCACCACAGTCGTTTCCTGGTCTACAGTACAGTACTGTAGACCCTTTACAAACCAAATGTCACCCCCTGGGTACAGTAGAGTACATGTACTGTACAGTGTATGTACTGTACTGAAGCAAGTTTGGTTTGTACTGTACTGTACTGTACTGTACTGTAGGTCTGAAATAAAATAAGGGGACTGTAAAAAACCAAATTGGGATTTTACCTTGTACTGTAGCAAAATTTGCCTTTATTTAGTTATTATTCCGCAGGTGCTATATAAAACAGAAATTGAACTACGGATTCGAAATTTTCAACTAATACACTATCGTTTGAAATTACTTTTTACATGATTTGATCAATATTAAAGCATTTACAGTACTTAATTAATAATCTGCAACGAAAAAGATCACGCTCTGTACTTTCAGGGGGTGACAATTGGGTTTGTAAAGAATGTACTGTACTGTAGCCTACAGTAGTTCTAGCGTCTCTATCCCATAGGGGAGGGGGGTGAAATTTGCTTTTTCTATTCTTTTGCCATCATAGTGGGTTAAGGCGATCGTTGAATTTACTACCCATACAGTACTCTAACAACCACAAGACAGTATGACTTTACCGATACAAGAATGAAAAATTCGACAAAATTATATCATGGCTTTGATGCACTCTGCCATATTTTATGATTGCTTGACAGATACAAGAATGAAAAATTCTACATTATTGTGCCATGGCTTTGATGCACTGTGCCATATTTTATCATTCTTCTTTTTGTTGTTACTCCTTTCTTTTTTCCAAATTGCAATCTTCACCCTTTGTACGGTACGTTTCGTGGGACTTGTACAGACTAGAAGTCAGTTTGGAAGTGCAGAGTGTAAAATAGAAGGTTTCAAAGAAATAGACTCGATCCTTTGGTGTCGATGTCTTTCTAGATTCCGTCAAATAATACTGTATGGTAGGAAACTTTCATCGTTGCTCCTATTATAATCAAACTTGAAGGGGAAAAGGACAGCAACAGAGGTGGTTGTTGCTGTAGTCAAATAGGTACGTAGAATGGATTGCATTGGGATCCTATTCCTTTTCAATTACAGACTGCGATAGCAAAGGATATCCCCCTCTATTCGTACTAGGGATTTCTAAAACACCTATTCAGTGCAATAAAAAAAAAGCATCCGGCTTGTCCTTTTCCTGGTCATCTTGCTCTACTCTGCCACCGAAAGCCTTCCAAGGCACTTTTTTACAAAACCAACCTGGCAGCACCTTTGATGGACTACGGAGAAGAAGACCTGGACTGATCACGCTTGGACAGACAGACACTTTCAGCCTCATCTGGTCAAACTATTTTACCCAAACGCCTCGTTAGGACAGTACTTCAGTATGCAGACGATCGGTTTTAAATGGACTAATTTTTTCTACATAAAGCTATAGTATGTCCAATCTTTTGCTAAGTTCTGCTTGGAAACAGCTATATAAGATTGTCAATGTTAATTAAATTAGTACCAGTGATGTCGAAAACAGACACGGAAGATCATGCTAAGTAAAAGCATTTTTCCATATTGGCATCCTTATTTGATCAGAAAAAAAAGTCCGTCTGTCTGAGGAAGGGAGTTGCTCGAGTTGCTCTTCTTCTAGTAGTCCATCTGTCCATGACTCCGAGACAAGAGTGGATGGTTACAGACATACAGTTGGAATGACGCACTGGTACAGAATGTAGTGCAGCAGCTGCTCGATTTCAACAGTGCCAGTACTCGACTCAGATACCTGCATAGAACACCATATAGTCAATACTGGATAGAGAACTCTCCCATAAAAGCCTCGCCGCCATACTGTAGCGCAGTAGAGACACGCTTGTACGGAAACAGAAGCAGCCATGTTAGCTGAACTATTACTTTAGTTGGTGGTATAGCAGCAAAGTCGACGACTGCTAATAACGCGATCTGTAAAGTAGAATTTACCTCCACAAATATCCTTTCGGTAAGGCACTCCTGTCTATCATTGCTTAATAACGAGTTTTACTGGATTCATTTGCGATCGTCCTGCATGCATCAACGTCAATGGACCCCTTTAACGCTAATAGTCAACAAAATGATGACCTATTTGATGAAATAATACTAGCTGCAAATCAAAGACAAGAGAACGCTTATTTAGCTGGTGTCCAGAAAGGTGGAGAGATTGGATATCAGAATGGCATGTTGATTGGGCGTCAGAAAGGCTCACAGTTAGCCGCTGAGATCGGATTCTATTCAGGTTTTGTATCTACTTGGCTAGCAATGATTGAATCGGATAAGACAGTACTGTTGAATAATTCGCTAGACTCCAATAGTGTAAAATCGAAACAAATTAAAATAACCAAATGCTTGCAAGCGTTACAAGCTCAGCTACAACATTATAATCAAACCTTCCAACAAAATCATATCCATCATTTAACAGAAGAATTATCCAAGCTGAGAAGTCGATTTAAGCAGTTATGCTCACTACTTAAATATCCTCCCAATCACGTCAATATTTCGGATTTAACATTTTAAATAAAATTTAGAGTGGGTCAACTTCCTAGGGTATTGGATACAAAGCAACATCAACCTGCCATGTCGATCATAGGATACAACCTATGGAACCTACAACATCCAACCTGGCATTCCATCAGTATGTTGAAATATCCATCTTGCATAATACAGACTGTTAGCCCTTATGGACTATTATTAAACCCCATACTCTACCACAGTATCATCGATACAGATCAAATCAAATTTCCTTGACGAAAGACTTCTATCAACACAACAGTAAACTGTCCATCTATTGGATATATCCTTTTGCAATCAATTTAATTTTATACGTTTATCCAAATAAATACTAGCAAAACTTACTCGACCATAACTATTCCAATACCGAATGATAAACAATATATATATACTCGTATACAAATTAAACTATTACTGCACATTAAAAGTCAATGTACTGTGCTACAACATTTGTTCTATTTCATTATTACTGTACTACTGGCCAATCTGGTCACTGTTAATACAACCTATTACTATTCATGGCCAAAAATAGCGATAATACTTCATTTGCATAGCATTCTACCAAAGAATCAATGCGACGATTCCTGTCAACGAATTCTGATAATTATAATCTAAGACTAGACAGTTGTATGTTGAAAAAGTTAAGAGTACAGGATGTTATGAATTTCATCCATTTACTGTATAAAATCTGCATTTAATATAAAATGTCTGGAGTCAATAATTTGTTTAGACGACTGGCATGAATAGAGAGTATCTACGCTGTTGAAAGATTGGGTGTAACTGAAAACAAAATTTTAATTTCTTGAGTGAACTCAAATCAGTAGGATGCTAAATCGAAATGCGTATTGAGCAAGGAACATCCAGTTCTACTCTTACATCTCAGATTTAGGATAACTTAAAAAATTAATTCACCCGTACTAAGGGGTCAGCCATTTTGCAAAACTCCTAGAGAATTTATGCCTGATTGCGCAAAATTTTCCGTTATCAGAATGCCAATTTAAAAGTCATTGCAATCATAAATAAGGTAATGCATCACGATTTGAATCTTCAAAGAGACCAGTAAATATCGTAACCGTTTTATAATTTACTATTACATAACCCCTTACAAGTTCTCTTTCTACTAAATTACCAACCTGAATGTCCTAAAATCTTGAAGGCCTACCAGAATTTCCCTTTCTATTTTCGAGATTAAATTTACTTTGAGGCATTGGAATAAATACAGGTTTTCGAATGCAACATGGTAATATAGGTCTGTTCCCATGTCACTGTGTATCTTAAGGTGTCAATATAAATGAAAGTCCATTCTCGCAACTGAAAAGAACTATTGAGAGCGGCATAGACAAATACTATCTTACCCATATACGGATATATTTAGTAAAACAAATTGAGGAATTTCCGTCACTTTGCAACTCATAAAATACTCTTTCTCTTCTTGATGCAAGCATATACAGCATTTCATATCGAGGGCCCTAAGCGAGAACAGCAACATCAACTAAACCAACAAAATTAATTTAATTGCTTAAAATGTCTTCGAGCAGGGTGTTGATGAAAATTGCCACCACCTTAAATCAGCCATTTTACACATGTTATTATCATTTATGAAATGTAAGTAATTCTTTCAACTTAGGACTACGAAGCAACGCTAGTCAATGAATGGTAATTGCTTGAACAAAGTAAGAAAATCATCTTTGTCAAGTCTAAAAGATCTAAATTTGTCTAATAAATACGGAGTACGTAATGATCATAAAGTAATTAAATTCGCAAATAGCTTAAATTTGGTAATCTAGCACTAGATTAACTACTTTGGGTTGAAGTAGGATTTAAAAAAGAATCAAAAACCTGTAGCTGCTACAATCTAGATATAAAATCATGCTAGGACTTACACTCATATCCTTGGTAGTAAGATAGGAATAGATTACATAAGAAAGCAAGATTCTATTGTGGCAATAAAACTGAAATTAGAGATATCAACGAAATAGTAATCATTTAAGTATAAAGAATATTTTTGACCTTGTAACCCCTTAGAGGAAGCATATATATACAGTAGTAAGATAATCTGGCTGTGAATTTCCTTTTAATGTCTTGCTTTGTGTAGAATATATATCCCTTCAAATAATTTGAACGGGAACTTTACTAGTAACCTAGAAGAATGCTAAATTTTGCACGAAATCAAGAAATCATTAATCTTAGGCGAGAGAATACTTAAGGATATAATAGCTGCGTTTCATTCATGAGCTTTGAGTATCTTCCACTATAGCAAACTATAAACTTAGTAGGGTAGTTTTTCCGGTGTAACATTATGTACATTCATCGTTAATGAAATCATTTCCGCGTTAGAATGAGCAATTTAATGTGGAAAGACGCCTTCAAAACAAATTATAGCCGACTAATTCCGGATTACTTTTGCATTAGAAAGAGTACTTTAACGTGTACAGCTGCTTTCGAAACATATTATGGCCGACTGATATATCATTTCGATTAATGCATGCAAAAGAAACAGATGCCAATAGATACGGTACTCTTTAACATGATTTAAAATTTCCTATAATTGTCCGTATTGTGTACTACATTTTATCTGTTCCAAACCCGTTGCTACGCTTTGTAGAATAATATAAGTAAAATAGAGTCAATAGTTTGAATTAGAGACATTAGTTATTAAACCGATAGATCGAAGTAGTATTTTAATTTACGATTTCATCAATGGCTACTTTTAATAGATGCAAATAATTTGATAGGATTGTTATTTACTAAATTTCAATCACATTATTGGCACTGTTTTCTATAAATTGATCGAATTAAAAATCAATTTACTTATACAGAAGAAATTGCGGTCATCAGTCTGCTAAAAACAATTCTAATGTAACTGGATAGATTGTAATCGTCAACTTTGACGTCTTTAAAATGTCGTCAGGAATAAAATGTTATATCCCTATCATTATTGCCGCCATTAGTGAATCAATATCTTCAATAAGTCTAATTTGTTAAAAGATCAACTCATTAGACTATAAATGAATAAAAAATAAGCAAGTCCTCTGTTATTATATTTTTCTTCTACCGAATGCTGTTACTATATGCAGACAGTAGTCTTGGTGGTTACATTGAAATAATAGAAACTACCTTTATAAACAACCATAGTTATGGTCATGGCTAGAGGTCAGTAAAGAGAATTGCCTCCTTATTTGTCAGTTTAGGAAAATTAATTACTATAGTGATCACCGCTATTTACTTTCTATTCTTTTAAAGACACGTACCATAGAAAAATTTCTCAACTTGGAAAATTAGTAAATAATGTTAGTAGTATCTGGGTCAAACTTGCAAATTTTGCAATATAATTACCGATTGCATTGATAGGATAAATTTTGAGCATTATTTAATCATTATCATCATGCAGCCCGATAAAATTTATCAATGACAAAATCGTGATTCATTTTACAGAAATGATGCGCTCGCATCCTTGGATCAGTAGATAGAATACAGTAATCACTAATTTTTTTCAATCAGCACTTAAATCATCCTAACTAGTACAAACTTATCTATCCTCATAGCACTAATTAACCGCTAATAATATATAAAGTAATAATCACTTATACTTCTGTGCGTGCACAAAAAGGTGTATATAAACGTCCATATGTTTACAAGGACTGCATTGTAAACTAGAGGATGGCTAATTTTAACGTCCAAAAGTACATCAATGATGTCGTCATTAATCTATTTTAATCATGATAATAATAACAACGTATCAGATGTCAATATTCATAACGTCAAGGAATATTAAGTGATTCTATTGATTTACGTACAATCATATTTTAATTTAATTTTTGTTGTCTTAGCGGTAATTTTAAATATCATCATGATCAATGCGTAGTTGTTTTCACCTTGCACTAGCCATAATACTAAGTGGTAAAAGTAAGAGATTGACAAATCGTTATTACTTATTACACTACCCATAATGAATGATGTAGAACCTATTCACTTGCAGATATCGACACTTATAGAATTATTGTCCATTTCGAGCGGCAACTTATTTTAGAGGAAACTTTTACATTTACTTAGGGGGCTCTTAGTTGTTGCTTCCATTTTTAATCATTGCTGCAAATAAATATACCCCACTCTTTATGGTATCTTATGCTAATATATTGGAATCGATCGATACCTATCAAATTATTGTTAATATCAAATAAATTTGGGTTCAATTATGCCAACATTTGCTCTTGATTAAGATGAAAAATAACTACAAGGTGAAATCATTTAATTAATCATGTCAATAATAATTCAAACAGTAAATATAAATTTTATATATTTATCGCGGTATAATTCTATACGCTTATAATGGCTACAAAAAGATAACCATGGTTACGTTCCCAATAAATTGGATTTAATATGTTGTTACCTATTGCTATAACAATTTTGTTATATTTTTGACTATCGTTTTGGGTATATTTGGGTCCAATAATTAAAATATTCTAAAATTAGAAATTATTGACATGAAACCGCCACATGACACGCAGTAGTAATGAAATACAAAAAGATTTTATTGTCTAATTCCCCCCCCCCAAAAAAATAAGAATCTATACTAATCAAGATTACACGCTTTAGAGGAATAATACGTAGCCTACAAAACTTTTTCGTATATTATTGTAACACTTCATGTTCTAAGCTAATCGAAATGATAAATTGCTTATAAAGTTTCGCCAGTTGCGTCCAAGTTTAAAGTAAATTCGAATACATAGAAGTGGATCATAATTTTAAGCATAGTAATATAATCGTATCTCTTGTTAAAATAGTATTTGGGCAAGGAATCACTTTCTTGCAGGCGATCCTTATTCTAATGGGTTACTGAATCTTGATTAATATCTTCTGTGTAGGGTGGATGAATTTATTACCAGTTTCAAACTACTATATAACGTAGTCGTTAAGCATCTATCAAAGCTGATACAATGACGCACCTGTTTTACGCTTACTGTCTTCGATGGGTTGATCATATCAGTCTCTAAACGAAATTTTAT